TACAATTGCATGGGCAGGATAATGCGTACATTTCTTACCAAGCATTGCAGCCTCCTCCTTTGTTTACCCTTCACATCCCTTCCCAGCCTCCCCCCTTCCCCCCAGTTTTTTGACTCTTTTAGGAACAAATGCTTCCTTTTCCTAACCCAATTGCTTGTTCTTATTAGGTATGAAAATGACACTCAATTCAAATAAATCCCTTAACCAGAAATGCTACCACATTGCCCAGTATCTATGTCCAACTCCATGTCAGTGGACTTTAGAATGTTTTTCTCTCCCCTGTGTAGCATAATTTTATCTGATATCCTCTTTATCTGTGATCTACATTGTAAAGTTGGCCACTACTTTCTATGTAGAAATGGGTTTATGAAAAAGGAAAAAAATTAAAATATACAAATAAACATGAAACAGTTAAGTGTTGCCTATCTGTACTTAGTCATGAGGCTCTGCTCTGTAATATTCTTCCCATTCCTGACGTCAGCCAGCCCTTCAGTGGATTAGAGATCTTTCTTAAGTAGGGTGGCCTGGAACAATTCCTATTGGAACAAATAGTAAGCGTTCTTGTTTTAACTGTAGCTATACCTTTCCCCCAAACCTCATGGCTAGTTGCAGTGTTTCCAAATTAATGATAATCTGGTGTTAGCTGATAACCAGACATCTATCTTTTCTGACAAAATTGAGGAGACAGGTTGCTTGAAAGTTTTGCGTCATGAGAGTACTAGAGGATGACTGTAATGTACTATGTGTTTTAAAAAGCTAGAGGAAAGGATTTGAAAATTTAGACCATAAAGAAATAACTGAGAAGATAGATGGGCCTATCCTGATTTATACATTACACAATGACTGCAAGTATCAAACATCAATTATTCCATTAATATGCTCTTTTTGTAGCACTAGGGGTTGAGTCTAGCACCATATACATTTTACATAAGATCTCTACCACTTGAACCACACCCTAAGCCATTTTGATTTGTATTTTTGTTTTTGAGACGGATCCTTGATAACTTTGCCCAGGCTGGTCTCAAACTCAAGATCTTCCTGCCTGTCTCTTATGTAGCTGATTACCCAGCAATATGTACAGTTCTTTATATTTCTGTATAATATCAGAAATTTCTAAATTCTGAACTCTATATATGGTGGTATATGCTTCTACAATCAACATTGGGAGGCTGAGGCAGGAGGATTGAGAGTTTGAAGCCAACTTGGGCTACATAGTGAAATCTTGTCTCAAAAACAGAAAAAAAAATACTCTTTTGCACAATTTCTTATCTCTACTTGTTGAGGCTTTTCCTTCATTTAGAAGGAATTGGTAATATAGTCACTCTGGTTGATATGGTGAAGTTCTGGTTCTCTGACAATCCCCATAATGCCTGGTCACTTTTCAGGGTATCTGGGAAATGGCTTGGTAAGTGTGCTTGGATTCTTTGGAAAACATTCATAGCAAGAGCCTATGATATTATAAGACCACTTCCCTAAACACTTGACTTGTTCATTCTTGGCTAAGACCATGATGGTATTATAATAACTCACATCAGAACTGGTTTGCTGGTTGGAGATTTTTTTTTGGGGGGGGGGGGTCCGGGCGTGGGGCCTGAACTCTGGGCCTGGGCGCTGTCCCTTAGCTCTTCAGCTCAAGGCTAGCGCTCTACCACTTGAGCCACAGCGCCACTTCCGGCTTTTTTCTTTTTGCTTATGTGGTACTGAGGAATCGAACCCAGGGCCTCAGGCATGCAAGGCAATCACTCTATCACTGAGCCACCTTCCCAGCCCCTGATTGGAGATTTTTTAAAACTTATTAAGATCTTTGCTCAAATATTTTGGTCTTAAAGACACAGCAACTAGGTGGCACCAAAGCTCCCTGCAGTTTGATAACTGCTGTAATTAACATTTTGTCCTTGCTGCCACCTGTGATAGTCATGTCCATCTGGCCTGCCACATTGCTACTACATGAACTCTGCTTCTCCATAGTTAACCTGACTCCAGCAGAAATAAGCAGATTTCTACTGCAACATTTCCCTCTTGCATCCACTGTTGCTCATTCCATGGATTAGCTAATTTCACATCTGTTCCAATACCTTGCCTTACTATGCCCTGGGAAAGTGGGTGTGAGCTACATGATCTCCATTGCACCAGGTGTATCAATATGACATATTTCTTTTTTTGGGGATGGGGGGTCCGGTAGTGGGGCCTGAACTCTGGGCCTGGGCGCTGTCCCTCAGCTCTTCAGCTCAAGGCTAGCGCTCTACCACTTGCCACAGCGCCACTTCTGGGTTTTTTCTTTTTGCATTATGTGGTGCTGAAGAACCCTGGGCCTCAGGCATGCAAGGCAAGTGCTCTACCACTGAGCCACCTTCCCAGCCCCAATATGACATATTTCTGAACAATGAGTGTAGGTAAGTCCCCAAGGCAGGCTTTGGTTATAGAATAAGGATATATGGCTAGGGCCGTGTTTTAAGAGGCATAGCACTTGCCTAGAATGAGTAAGGCCACAGTTTGAATCTCTAGTATAACGAAAACAAACACAAAACATCTGACACGAACTCTTGCAGCAGTCTGATTTCAGGGCATTAATATGGTCACATGGCTCCCTTGCCTAAACCCTGTGCTAGTGGTCCTGCATAGGGTTGTTTTTCTACGACTGCTCACCTTACTGATGCCCTGCTGTCCAAAGTAAGTTCAGCTTTAGCAGATCTGCCAATTTGCTGTGTCCTTGCAGCCTTTCCCTAGATGTTTATAATCCATGACACCAGGATATATAAGGCCTATTTGGTAACATTGGATATCAACACAACCGCATTAAAAAGGAGTCTTAGACTGTAATCCTAGCCACTCAGGAAGCTGAGATCTGAAGATCACAGTTCAAAGCTATTTCGGGCAGGAAAAAAGTCTATGAGACAACTCCAGTAACCACCAAAAAGCTAAATGTGGAAGTATGGCTCAATAGTAGAGTACTAGCCTTGAGTAAAAAAAACGGGGAACACTGATAGCTCTCATGCTCAGGCCGAATTCTAGCACTAGGACCAGCACGAAAAGACAAAAGATACGGTTCATATACCTGGTATGAAATGAGAGTTTTCAAAACATGTCTAAGGGAGCCACAAACATGCCTTTCCCTTTACTGGTCCATGAGAGCAACTTCATTCCAAACATGTATATTGCATGTTCACACAGGAAAAAGCATACATTCATTATAAAAATAACTTTCTCTTCACTGTTCATATGATTTCACCTACTTATTGTGACCCAAGTTCTTGATAGGGACTGGAAAGGTGGCTCAGTGGTAGAGTACTTGCCTTGCATGCATGAGGCCCTGGGTTTGATTCTTCAGCACCACATGAGCAGAAAAAGCCAGAATTGGCTCCGTGGCTCACGTGGTAGAGCACTTGCCTTGAGCTGAAGAGCTGAGGGACAGCGCCCAGGCCCAGAGTTCAGGCCCTACAACCAACCAAAAAAAAAGAGTTCTTGATGGAAAACTCTGTTCTGGATAAGTCTTTCACAGTGAAAAAACAGAATGATTTGGGATATTTTCACATATTCTTGTTATATAAGAGACCTATTTAAAACTGATCTTTTAAAATCTTGTTAAAACAATAATTGAAACACTTGACTATTCATGATAGAACTGGAAGTTTGAAGCTGGTAGGAGCTAGCACAATATCCACCAGTATTTTAGTTGACAGAATCTAATTTGGACTCCCCACCAGTGAGGACCTTTGCTGTGAGAACTACAAAGGTGGGTAAATAAAACACACATCCTCCATCTTCTTGGGAACACTCCTCCGGCACAAGGAAGATCATAAAAGTCAAAACTGAAGTGCAACCAGAGGATATAGAGCTATGGGAATCTGCAAAAACTTTAGAGACAGAAATAAGGGTGTTGGGCTGGGGATGTGATAGAAAGTATATGAAGTTTTAACTATAGCACAGGAGGCAAAAAAAAGACCTTTAAAAGGTCTTTGGTGGAGTAGGAAGAAACACTATGGACAAGGGCTCAGCACCAGGAAAAAATGAAAGAATAGAGGGTAACAGTTCAGTGGAATGAGGGAGGGCAGGCTGCGAATATGAGGGCAGGCCTAGACAATAGCAGAGATAAACATGAAAACAATAGGAACCCTTGGTATTGGTTTTAGAGGAAAATGAAAATTCAAACTTTATTGTGTAGTGATACTACACAAGAATCTATCAACTTCTACACAAGTGATCAGAGTATATAATGATTCATAAACAAATACATTTTAATCCAAAAAGTTTCAACATTAGGTGGCTCAAGCCTATAATCCTATACCTTCAGGAGCTGAGATCTGAGGATACTGTTCAAAGCCAGCCCAGATAGGAAAGTCATTGAGACTTACCTGCATCTGTATCCCAAAAAGCCAGGAGCAAAGTTGTGGCTTGAATGGTAACAGTGCCAGCCTTGAGCAAAAAAATAAATATTACTCAAGGCCCTGAATTCAAGTCAAGTACTCACCAAAAATAAAAAATAAAATAAAAAAGGGATTGAAACACTACTATAGCATTTCTAAAGAGAGATAAAATTGAACAAAGATCTGTCATTGCCTCTTTCCAATTGTACAGAACTGTGTAATTGTACAGAGAAAGGCTCAGTGTTAGTGATGCTACAGCACTAATCATAATCCCATCAGATTCTCAACTTCTCTTGGGGTTGAAATCTGCTGGCTAACTCAGAAAAGGCCTTGCCCTCTCCCTTCCTACCCAAACTGCACCTGCAGTACTTGGCATCCCTGTCCTAAGCATGTTATTAGGAATCTACAGTATGTGGTTTTACTTTGGGGTGGACATTTTTAGCTGTCAAAGCTAATGACCTACCAGTTACTTTCATGTTTGTCAGTTGCTACTGAAATGGCAGTGGGAAAACTTGCACTAGAAATGTCCAGGTTTCCTTTGTGCTCTGTAGGGATGTGTCTGCACTGTAAATGGGTGGCCTAGATGAAGCCCATCTCACAGAGGGAAGTAAGAACAATCAGGAGCAACTCTACTGAAGACAACTGATAGGTCTGAATGCCTGTTGCCTACAGAAGAATCAGATAAAGATTCCTTTTAAGTCCTGGGCTAATAAAATCATCCAGTTGTTTCCCTTAGGGTTACAGCAGCCAGAAGCTTGTCATGACATTTAATAGTGAGAAAGGAAAAAAAACTATATGACTTTGATAAATATTGTTGGTCATAGCCACACTTTATTTGATTAAACCTTTGATCAGAAATCCAAAACTTAATATTTTGTGGTTATATAAAAATACAATCCATTTTATGAGTTTCCAGAAATAAATTATGAAGAAAAACAAATGGAGCCTACTCCTAATGGTCTCTCAGAAATTGCAACCTTGGCCTGGGAAGATACACATACAGAATGCTTACATTCACCTTCAAATACATTCCATTCTTCTCTATCCCTTATAATTTTCTAAGCCACAGGTAGGATGTTAACGACCACAGGTAGAATGTTAACGATTACTAGGTAATTGGGAACACACTTTTTAGTTATTTTCCCATAGAAGAATTTCATGGGCTGGGCGCTGGTGGCTCATGCCTGTAATCCTAGCTACTCAGTAGCTGAGGATCATGGTTCAAAGCCAGGCCAGGCAGGAAAGTCCGTGAGACTCTTATCTCCAATTAACCACTAGAAAACTGGCAGTGGTGCTGTGGCTCAAAGTGGCAGAGCGCTAGCCTCGAGCAAAAGAGCTCGGAGGCAGAACCTAGGGCCCCACATTCAAGCCCCACGACCAACCCCCCAAAAAATTCATGAAGGAAGTGTCTGGTATTTTTCACAGTTGTATAAATATAAGAAAATGAAAAATACAGTTTTGAGTTTTTTTGTTTTGAACCCAGGGTCTTAGGCATGCTGAGTAAGGGATAGATTACTGAGTTTCCCAGCCTCAGTTTTAGTTGTAACTACAAGTGGTTGGCAACTGTCTCCTTAATTGTTATTGCAGGAGTAGGTCCAACATGAGTCCATATATAGCCCTTCTCTGGTCTGGTGGGGACAGTGGGAAATGGTGATGACCTTGACTTGAAATACTCAGAAGGTGCATGACAAACAAATTCCAAGTATTCCATCTTCCTCGGTAGGTCTTCCTCTGGCCCTGGAAGACAGTCAATGGAGAGGTTAGAATCAATTTTGAATAATATATATATATATGTAGATGTATATATATGTATATATACATATGTGTGTATATACATATATATACATATTTGACTCAACTGAGAAATGGGTCTGAAAATATTGAACACTTAAACAGCTTGTGCTTGAACTGTTCTACATAATATGTGTGTGTGTGTGTGTGTGTGTGTGATGAATCCTCACAAAAACCCCAACTAGGCAGCTATGATTCCCATTTTGCATATGAGCATAGTAAGGTGAATAATTCAGCTCTTCAGCTCAAGGCGAGTGCTCTACCACTTGAGCTACAGCGCCACTTCCGGTTTTCTGGTGGTTTATTGGAGATAGGAGTCTCACGGTCTCTCCTGCCCGGGCTGGCTTTGAACCGCGATCCTCAGATCTCAGCCTCCTGAGTAGCTAGGATTACAGGCGTGAGCCACCAGCGCCCGGCTGATCTTGACAAGTCTTACAGCTGATAAGGGGCAGAGCTGTGGACCCAGTAGTTTGTCTCCAGAGCCTATGTTCTGCTCTCTGTGCTGGACTGCTTCCTCTAGGGAGACACTGCAGAATTTTAGGGTCAGAAATGGTAGAAGAGGAGCCCCGGGAAGGGGAGGGAAGGAAGGAGAAGGTAGAGAAGAGGGGCCAAGCAGATTAATCTATTCTTTTACGTATATCTAAGAGTTAACTAAGTTCAAGACGTTACACCAGTTATTAAACTCACCTATGATATAAGATGCAGGATCAAACTGATCTGTGGGGCTAGACAGAGTAGGAATGAGCCATGTCAGTGCTGCGCTCTTCTCACAGTACTGGTCCTGGATAAAACCCCTGATCTGAGCATAGTAGAGCTTTCCATCTTGTTCATCAATCACAGAAACAACATCACCAATTTGGTAATATACTCCCTGGGGGAAACAATACCATATTTAAAATAAAAATACAGCAACACGGCTATGAATGTAGCTACTTTAATCACATAGCAGTTTTCAAAGTAGTCAATATAAGGTCTAAGGTATTAATGTTTATGTTTGTACTTCTCTCTTTTCTTTCCTTTTCCCTTTTTCTTTTGTGCCAGACCTGGGACTTAAACTCAAGGCCTGAGCTTTTCCTTTTTTGCTCAAGATTAGCACTCTGCCACTTGAGCCACAGCTCCATTTCTGGCTTTTGCTGGTTATTTGGAGATAAAGAGTCTCATGGACTTTTCTGCCTGGTTTGGCTTCAAATGGTGATCTTCAGATCTCAGCCTTCTGAATAGCTGGGATTACAGATGTGAGCCACCAGTTCCCAGATACTTGTTTCATTTTTATTTTTTATTCTTAATTAATTTATTTTATTTTATTTTTATTTGTCGGTTGTGGGGCCTGAACTCTGGGCCTGGGCGCTGTCCCTGAGCTCTTCAGCTCACGGCTAGTGCTGTACCACTTGAGCCATGGTGCCACTTCTGGCTTTTTCTGCTTATGTGGTGCTGAAGAATTGAACCCAAAGCCTCATGCATGCGAGGCAAGCACTCTACCACTAAGCCACCTTCCCGGCCCACTCATTTTTATTTTTTAAAGTAATTTTACTTAATTTTTGGTTATGTGGTACTAAGGAACTGAACCCAGGGCCTCATGTATGCTAGGCAAGCACTCTGCCACTAAGCCGCATTCCCTGCCCTCGTTTCATTTTTAAATGAAATGTGCAGATTTGCAAGCACATATGATAGCTTGTACCCAGAGCATGAACATTTGTTCATGTAACTTCTTTGATTTTGTGTTAGGACAATAATGTCTCTAATTTAAAAAAAATCTTGACTTCACTTCTTACGAGTCATTTTGGTTTATAGCAAAATGCCCCTCCCCAACACATGTGTGTCCTTCATCATCAATGATACTACTAGCATGGTCACAACTGATGAACCTACACTGACAAAACACTGGCTGAAAGCCCATAGTTGACCTTAGGGTATAAGCTTGGTGGTGTATATTCTGTGGGTTTCAGCAAATGTAAAATAACATAGATTCATTATAACGGCATCATAGAAAAGTTTCACTGACTGCCTAACATTCCTCTGTGCTCCACGCTATCCCACTTTTCTTACCTAGCATCATTATCCTATACAAAGTTTATGGGATGTACTGAAAGCCACATAAGGCAGAGAGTGCAGCCTGCGTTCCAACGCCAGCTCATAGGTCTTCCCAGTGCTTACTTGTTGGGCATATACTGTATACACGCCTCTTCCAACCACCCAGCTAAAGAAAATAGACACCAAAAGTTCGTGTGAAATGAAATGACCAAAATTTTTTTTATTATAACCACTATCAAGATTTGTTACTCTCAATTTGCCATACATTTTCCTGACTCAAGACTGCCAGTCTCTTCTGCTTCCTATTCAGTTTTATATCTTCCCACAATGTAATTACTGGCATTTCTCATACTCAAGGATTTTTGTCCTATTCATTTCCTAGCCAACTAAATAATCTGTACAAGTCCCATATTAAATTCTCCCTATGATTCTATTTATCCATTTCCTGGGTCTTAAGCTGAAAACAATATGACATCTGAAAATCCATAATAGTGGACATAAATAATTCCAATATTCAGCAATTCCTTAGGTAGGCCCAGGTCTCCACAGACACCCTGCAGAATCAGTATGAGACGGGGCTTTATAAAACATCAGGGAAAGTTGCTGGGTTGTATACTTCAATCATAAAAATGATTCTGAAGAAATATTTCCAGTATCTGAACTGTAACATGAATACCTAATAGGCCAAGTGTGTCCTCAGAGTCTCTTATCCATGTGTCTGAAGTAGCTGTAGCATCTGGATCATGATGGACGAGTAGTCAGCATAGGCCACCACAGTCTATTCCTTATAGTTCATATCCATCAGCAGTGGGTCCTTTCTCCCAGATACCATTCTAAAGCTCTAAGCTATTTATCGGATAGTTTGTGTTTATGATTGTCTACAAGTATAATCATGTCCAAATTATACATTATATTGCTTATTACAGGCACTCAAATTACATGATGAATGAATATTAATCCCAAATATACGATACTGTGGAATGCAAAGACAATGTCTTAGTGAAAGAATTCAATGGCAAGCCATGCCTGGCACACAGCAGGTATTCATAAGCATGTGCTGTATACAATAGTTCCCCTTATTTGTGAGTGACAGGCTCCAAGACCGCCACTACATACCTGAAACCTTGGTCACTACCAAGTTCTGTATATTGTTTTCTTTGTGTGCATGTATATTTATGATAGTTTACAATTTAGGTAAAGTAAGTGATTAGTAGCAATAAGAGAATGGTTATGACAATATTTTAAATGGATAAATTATTTCTAGAATTGCCAACTTCACATTTTCACATTGCTACTGCCCACAGGTCACTGAGATCTTGGACAATGAAATTGCTAAGAGAAGCCAAGGTGGTGGATTAGAGCAAGCAGCATTCTCCAAATGCCAGAGGAAATGAAATTCCTAGCGCAAAATTTACTTTTAAAAGTGCTCAGTGATCTAAAAGAAGAAGCAAGCAGATAAATGAAGTAAGGAAATCAATGCAAGACCTGGACAAGAAAGTTAGATATACGGAAAAAGAGATAAACAAACATGGGAAAACCTTGAACATCTGGAACATGATTAATAGACTAAACATAGAATCCATGTTGTAAAGTTGGCTGCTGAGGGCTTATACATGTAATCCTGGTTACTCAGGAGGCTGATATCTAAAGATAATACTTTGAAGCCAGCCTAGGCTAGCTCTCATCTCTAATTAACCACCAAAGAGCTAGAAGAAGTGGTGCTATGGCTCAAGTGGTAGAACACTAGCCTTAAGCAAAGAAAACTCAGGGACAGTGCTCAGACCCAAAGTTTAAGCCCCAGGACCTGAAACAAAAGGAAAAAAGAAAAAAAGAATCCATGGTACGGAAGAAGAAGCTAAGATGCAAACAAAAGGCACAGGATAACTATCCAATTAAACTATAGCAGAAAAATCCTCAAATATTAGCAAAATGTAGAAATATAAATATAGGGGGTATTTGGAACACCAATACCCATGGCCAGAAAAGAATAGCCCCATTCCACAATATAGTTAAAATGCCAAGAGTATAGAACAAAGAATAGATACTGAAAGCCATAGGAAAAAAATGCCAACTTACTTACAAACATCAGAATTACCTCAGACTTTTCCATAGAAACCCTAAAGTCATGAAAGCATCAAAGTAAAAGTAATAACTGCCAACCAGGAGTAATGGACCCAACAAAATTGTCATTCCAAGTTGATAGATAAAGGAAAACCTTAAAGGATAAACATAAGCTAGGGATTCATAACCACTAAGCCAGACCCGCAGATAATGCTCAAAGGAAAACTGCACACAGAGGAGGAAGATGATCACAAAAATGAGAGATCAGGAAGAAATAAGTTTCATAAGAGGAATAGATTAACACATGAGAATCAGAAAAGAAACATACTCAACAAACCAACAAAATCTTAAGTGAACAAGGGTTTTGGTGGTGGTGGTGGTTTTTTGATTTTTGGTTTTTTGGGGTTTTTTGTGTTGTTGTTGGTCATGGGGCTTGAACTCTGGGCTTGGGTGCTGTCCTTGCGCTCTTCAGCTCAAGGCTAGTGCTCTACTGCTTGAGCCACAGTACCATGTCCAGTTTTCTAGTGGTTTATTGGAGATAAGAGTCTCCAGACTTTCTTGCCAGGGCTGACTTTGAACTGAGACCCTCAGATCTCAGCCTCCTGAGCAGCTAGAATTACAAGCGTGAGCCATCAGTGCCCAGCTGTTGTTGTTTTTGCCAGTCCTGGGGTTTAAACTCTGGGCCTAGGCTCTGTCCCTGAGCCTCTCTGTGCTCAAGGCTAGCACTCTACCACTTGAGCCACAGCACCATTTCTGGCTTTTCTGTTTTTTTTTTTGGGTCCGGTCGTGGGGCCTGAACTCTGGGCCTGGGCGCTGTCCCTCTGCTCTTCAGCTCAAGGCTAGCGCTTGAGTCACAGCACCACTTCCGGCTTCTTTCTTTTTGCTTATATGGTGCTGAGGAATCGAACCCAGGGCCTCAGGCATGCAAGCCAAGCACTCTACCACTCAGCCACCTTCCCAGCCCCTGGCTTTTCTGTTTTATGTGGCACTGAGGAATCAAACCAAGGGCTTCATGCATGCTAGGCAAGCACTCTACCACTAAGCCACATTCCCAGCCTTTTTTTTTTTTAAGGAAGAAATAATACCTAAATCAACCAGGAAAATGGCCACAAAATCACAGAGCTAGAGAGGCCTGGGTTGAAGCCCCAGTAAAGACTTCCACCTCATCCCCCAAAAAGAAAAAAAAGAAGAAGAAGAAAGAGTATGAGAAACTATAGGAACACATGGAGATTGAACAGCATATTTCTGAGTGAGCAGTAAATCACTGAAAAATCATGAAGAAAAATTTTTTTAATTACTAGAACTGAATAGAAATGAAAATACAACTTACAGGAATCTTTGAAATACAGTGAACGTGCTAAGAGGAAATTTTATAGCTATGAGTACTCACATTAAAAATCAGAGACACAACAAATAAAAAAACCTAAAGATGCCCTTCAAGGTTTAGAAGAACAAGAGCAAGCCAAATCCAAAATCATTAGATAGAAAACAATAATATCGATCAGAGGAATTAATGAAATATAGACTAAAAGGAAAAATCAGTGAAACAAAGAGTTGGTTCTTTGTAAAGATAAACAAGATTGATAACCCTTTAGCTAAAGTAACTCAAAGTGGCAAAGACTCAAATCAATAAAATTAGAGATAGAAAGGGGAACATTACAGGAGATACCAATGAAATTCAAATGAATATACAGGGGACTGTTTAGAGAAGAGAATTAGGAGGAGGGAAGAGGGACAATGGACAAAGTGATGGAAGAAAGGATATGTTCAAAGTATATTATATACCTACATGAAAATAACAAAGAAACCCATTATTTCCCAAAGGACTTGAAGGTTGTATCTGTTATAATCCCTTCCTAAGATTTACAGTTTAAAAATTTACATCTACTTTCTCACTGAAGTAGCAGATGTCTGAAGTAACACATGTCCTTTGGCTTTGTCCCAAGGGATCATTATCAAAAAGTCTTGAACTCTCTCACCACTAACCTCTAGTAGGTATTAACTCCCATTAATACATTTATTTCTCTGACTTCTATGTACAGATAGTTTAGAATCTCTGTGATCCTCTGCTCTACCTACTAGACGTCATGATCCACACCTACATTCAAACACATTCCACCTCTGTCCTCATCCTTAAATGCCTTCGCATGGGAATGGGATGCCTTACTCTTTCATGGCTCCACACTATACAGTAGCATTTTAAGGACAATTCTTATCATCTGTGTTAAGTAATACTAAGGACCCTCAGATCATATTTCCACAGGTAGCTTCTCCTCCCACCTCAGCTCCTAGATGTTTTACAACAGTCACAAATGGGAAAACAGCTTGGGAGATTTAAAAAAAAAAAAAAAAAGCTCCATAGAAGCTTACCTTGTAGAAGATTGATTCTGCAGTGATGATGGTGGAAACAGACTCAGGAGCTTTGATAGGCTGTGAGAAAAAACACAAACAAAACCATTAGCAACAATCATGGCATATATGTGTGCGTAATATGATCCTCCCAGCCATATATTAGAGTTGTATAATTTGAAAAATTCTAAAATGTATTGTTTGGTGACAAGAAATACAGTAAAATAATAGTGTTATAGCCAGGTAAAATGATCACACCTGTATTCCCAGCACTCAGGAGAATGAGGCAGGTTGATCATGTGTTCTAGACCAGGTTAGCCTATATAATAAAGTCCAGTGTCCAAAATAAAATTCTTCAGTGTACCATCTCTGATATCATTAGTTTAAGAACTGCTGAGAAATAGGGTACCAGGTTCTAATTATGCTGCTGAGATCTAACACAAAGCTCCTCATAACTCCATTAGACATTAACACTTGAATTATAAAAATATACTAGTTCTAATAGCCTGAGCATGACAGAATGGAAGTAATAAAAAATGCACAGGTGAATACAAAGTGAAAAAGTATCTTACTGAAGGGTTCTCAGCAATAGAAACTACAAGCCATTCTCAATTTTGTAACAATCCTGAACTAAGACTTTAGAAACTTTGTGAGTTCTTAGTAATCTATTCCTTTGGAAGGAACTATCATGAAATCCCTACTTACACTTCAATAACATCTCAATGCCACAACATAGAACCTAGGCCTCCTCCATCTACCTTGATATCACCCGTGATGGATACTGTAGATATTTATAATAAAATAATTAAAGAGAATCATCTGCAGTACTAAAAAGGAAAAAAAAGCCTATGATACAAATATAAACAAAGAATAACATGTTTCATCTAGTCAATAAAATGCTTCATCTTAAGAAACCAAATTATAGAATCATATTAGAAAAATTCTGTTAGAAACAAAACTGATTAAGAATTTGAAATCTGCAAAAATATTTATTGCAGGGCCACTCTGCTTTATAAATGAGTATGCTCAATTTAAGAAATGTCTTTACTGGTATGTAAAGGATCCTTATTCTGAAAAGTATTACACTGATGTTTAAAGTCTGTAATAACGTGGAGCACTGGTGACTCATGTTTGTAATCTAAGCTAATCAGGAAGCTGAGATCTAAGGACTGTGGTTTAAAGTCAACTAAGCAGAGAAGTTGATGAGACTCTTATCTCCAGTTAACCAATCAGAAACTGGAACTGGAACTGGAACTGTCTCAAGTGGTAGTACTAATCTCGAGCACAAAAGCTCAGGAACCCTGAGTTTAAGGCCCAAGACCAGTACCAAAAGAAAAAAATCTCTAATGAATAATTGTACATTGTCTCCTAATGGTTCACAAAACTACAGCTGTAAAAAAATGTACTGTCAACTATCATAACTGTTTCTATGGTTTCTTTTTTATAACAGAAAAGGGATAATAGTTTAAATTTTTTATTCATATTCATCAAACTCATCATTATGAATAAGATGTTATAATAGCATAAGAAACCATTAAGGAAACCAATAAGAATATGATCAGTCCCAGTATTATTTTCTTGGATCTTTAAAGAACAAAAAAGTTTCCTAGTGTACCTTCCCATATCAAGAACTTGGTCTGAAAGTGTGGCTCACAGTGCTTGTCTAGCAAGCATGAAGCTGTGCGTGCAAACCCCATGATCACCAACAAATAAAACACAAATCATAATCTCTCCTCTTCCTTTGCAAGGATAACCTGTTAACTAGGACTCAAAGTTAATGCTTCTTTTAGCTTCACATTTTATATTTTCCGAGGGAAAAAGATGAGGGGGGGGGACGGGGGGAGAAAGAGAGACAGACAGACAGACAGACAGACAGAATTACTAATGATATAAACAGCAGACATTCTTTTGGGAAGTCCGCCCCGCTCCCCACGACGTGGCAGCTCGCATGTTCAATGGTGGGGGGCAGCGGCAGCGACGAGGGCACACTACACACAATGCATTGCAGTAAAAGAAGCTGTCCACAATCATCTTACATTTTTTAATTTAAAAATATGTCTTCTCCCTTTTCCTTTAGTGGAAACTTTCTTTTCAGCAGCGGGAGCGGATTTGTATTTGGTGTTTCTGAGACGCGCGGACCTCCTGTGAATTTCTTGTTTGCTCTGTTACACAGAAACAAAAAGAACAACAACAACAAAACCCCACAGCGCTGTAGCGAAAGCAACTAAGAACGGTGCCTCCACAGCCGTCTCCCGGGGATCCAGGGGCCTGGCTATCCGAGGGTATGTGAACATTCACGGGCAGACCCGCCTGCAGGAGCGGGGCTCGGAGCCGCGGGGCTGCTCACACCGGGGCGGACACCGAGCCCAAGTTCAGCTCAGGCAGAAGTGACCCGTGTGTCATTCATCTCGGACAGGACCTACAGCGATCTTCCTCAAGGCGGAAGATGGATCAGACTGGGTGTGCTGTCATTTCCCATGCCCTAATGGCCGGGCGGCACGGCCTCCCCGACGCGTCGCGAGCAGACTCCACTACCCCGGGAGACTCGGCCAGGCCCGCGCTGCTTCCCCCGGGGCAGGGTTCTCCCGGGTGCAGAGGCGGGGCCCGGCCTCACCTGCTTGCCGCCCCCGCCCCCGTTGCTCTGCGGAGGGGCGGCC